ACACACACCAGGTTGCTAATGTGGGTTCACTGAGGGCGGGGTGGATGTGCATCGGGGAGAGGAAAGGATAAGGCTTGTGTTGCTTCCCCTAGAAGATGCCTCTCCTGCTTTCCTGACGGCTTCCTTCTCTTCATCCATCCATTCCACTCACCTTTCACCCTAGGCTAGGCAAAGTCCTGTGGAGACAGCTATCTTCCAGTATTCTCTGAGTACTTGGAATTTCTGCAGCACTTCCTGTTTCCATCACATTCATGAACCTATGATCTCATATTTTTTTCTATTATTTGCTGTGTATACATATGTCTCACGAGTAGTGGTTAGCAGTGTGGACTATTGAGTCAGACCACCTGGGTTTGAGTCCCAGCTCCATCACTTACTTATTGGCTGCGTGAACACAGTAAGGGACATAGTTTATGTTTTCCCAACTGTGAAATTGGAATAATAACAGTTCCTACCACAGGGTTGTTGGGAGGAGTAGATGAGTGGATACAGCAAGGTGCCCAGAACAGTCCCTGGCGCTGGGTGACCTACACGAGCGTGAGCCGCTATTATCAGGGTCATTATTGTCTCGCCTAACTAGATTTTAAACTCTTGGAGGTATTTTAAAGATTTTATGTTTTTCCTTTTTTTCCCCAAAGCCCCCCGGTACATAGTTGTATATTCTTCGTTGTGGGTCCTCCTAGCTGTGGCATATGGGACGCTGCCTCAGCGTGGTTTGATGAGCAGTGCCATGTCCGCGCCCAGGATTCGAACCAATGAAACACTGGGCCGCCTGCAGCGGAGTGCGCAAACTTAACCACTCGGCCACGGGGCCAGCCCCTCGGAGGTATTTTAAACCACAGATAATCTTTTAGATTTCTTTTGCATCCCTTCCCCATTATTTCCCAGAATAATGTTATTTCAAGGCCTTCAACTATTTGTTGAATAAATTAAATGAATGACTCTTTGATTTGAGAAGTCTGTAGAGAAGGAAATTGCTGAGCATGTGACTGTCACTTACATGGCAACCAGTAAGTAAACGTCCGTGGCTGATCTCACCTGGCACTTAAAGCTATTTTGTTAAGAGGGGAGAATAGTTGTCTTAAAATCAGTCTTCCAGAATAGCATAGAAAAGCCTTTCATCTCCATTTACAAAGCCACTTACGAGCTAGACACAAGGAAGCTCACCTAAAACCGTAACAAGGAAACGTGAGCCATTTGTGGTAAGAACATTGGAATCACTGGCCCTTTGGGAACATATTATGTATGTTTAATATAAAACTAAATTGTATTAGATAATGCATTTCTTCAAAGCACTGGATGAGATGCGTTTGAACCCTTAAGTTGTAGTTGTCACCTGTCCTTTCTCTTGTGTGTACTGTCCAACCTTATCTAATGATGGTTTTATTTCTCTAGAGGTTTAAATGGGTCTGGGGTCTTGTGGGCCAAGAGAGTAGAAGAAGCCATTTAGAAAATAATGAAAACACTCGTCCTTCTGACGCCACCCTCTCTCTCCCCCTGCCTTGAATGTTCAACCTCTCGCTTTCAACGGGACCCTTCCCATCAGCATTTTAACATGCTTAGGTCTCTCTCAGATTAAAACGAACAAAACAGAAAGGCCCACTTAGCCACCGTCTAGCTCTTCTCTTGCTCACAGCCGATCTGTGGGGAGAGCTGTACGTACGTCTCAGCTTCATTCTCTCACTTCCCACCTGTTCCTCAACTGCTCACTTCAGCTTCTGCCCCATCAGTCTTCAAAACTGCTCAGCAACTGACCTCGGCCCACTAAACCCAGGGTGCCCTTTTCATTGTCACCTCACATGGCGAATCTGCAGCTCTCGGTCCCATCGATCAAGGCCTCTCTTCACCTCTCACTCACACTTCCTCATCCCCAGCTGTCCCCTACCCCTGTCATTTCCAGTGTCAACAAAGAGGGTGTAACTTTCCACACCTTTCTGCTACACGCATATATAAGCACATATATAATTCTTAAGGATGTGCATCTATGTTTTTTTCTGAAAATGAATCATAGTGTTCACATTACTTTGCAATTTCCTTTTTCTATTTGACATTATACCCTAGGCAATCTACAAGTCAGAAAAAAACATTTCTAACTCTACCTTTAAAATTTTTTTATTTTGGCATATAAATGTATGTATATTCAGACATAACTAAGTAAACGTCGGGACAAATCATTACGTTTTTAGAAATTAGAGAAAAAAATTAGATTTTGCATCGGGGGTCCTCTTGAGAGTTTCCAGCAGAGCAGGACCAGGGGCCGAAGTTGCCAGTGGACAGATTTCAGCTCAATGGAAGGCAAAGCAAGCATACTGTACCCTGGCTGCGCCCCACCCCAATGGAGCTGTTTTATCTTCAGAGCACTAAGCAGCTAACTGAAAACAGTGGCTCCACTATCTGTGTTTTGGGTTTAAATATTAAATTAAAAAAATATTTTACATTGCTAAGCAAGATGATGTATGACTCTTAGGCCCTCAAAATAATTTTGCTCTCTCCTTCAAAGTTGTGACCTTGGGAGCAACAGCCACATTCCAACAAGAGTACGACCTGTTCAAATGATTTTTGGAAATTTTCCTTTAGTCTAAGCATCTTTCACTTTCTTTTTTCTTTTCCATTTTAAAAGGCAATTTTAAAAGTAACACCTGCCCTTGGGGAAAGCTTAATAAAATACAGACATGCTCCATCTCCCCCAGGCAGCCCTTGCTAATACTCAGCAGTGTACTGTCAGCATCACGAAGGAGGGCAAGTCCAGGATCTGCTCATCTGAGTTCATCACAAAGAGCCAAGTTCTGGTCCCAAATCACAGGTCCTTTCCTTATAATTCCCCAACTAAACCCCTTCTAGGAATCTTCTGAAAATTCTAGTTATCACAACAAATAATTTCAAACACTACTCTCTTAAAAGAAAAATCTACATAGAGTAGCAAAAAGTCCAGAAAATGAAAATATTTCAATATTTCTTCATTTATTGAGTCTATAATTGCTTCCATAGGGAGATTTCCAAAGTGGAATTCCCATTATTAACAGAACAGCTGAACCAAATAGATTTTCCCTCGCAATACAGAAACAAATGGGTTAATAGCAGCAAAACAAAACAAAACACTCCAAGCAAATAAAACACCCCAAGGAGTAACACAGGAAGGGGAAAAACAGATCTTGAGGAGAACTTTTGGACACAATGACAAAAAGTTATTGTAGTTCAATAATTAAGATATTAATTAATTAATAATCAAATTATTAATCAAAATATAATTTAAAACAGTCTTGAAGGGCCAGGCACCAAGGTGCTGCCTTATCACAGCCCCAGGAAGATGGACTGAGTCAGGGAGTGGGTGCTCTCCCAGGGCTGGCACAGGCTCCACAGGCCTAGATGCCTGTTTTTCTAAAGCTGGCAAGCTTCAAATGATTTTCACATTTTTAAATATTTGAAAAAAAAATTTAGTGACACATGAAAATCACATAAAATTCAAGTTTTGGTGTCCATAAGTAAAGTTTCATGGAAACGCAGCCACGTTCACCCACTTATGTATTGTCCATGGCTACTTTCCGTTACAGAGGCAGATTTGAGTGGCTGAAATAGACTGTGTGGCCAGCAAAGCCTTAAATATTTACTAACTTCCTCTTTACAGAAAAAGTCTGCTGATCCTTGTTCTAAACCATATTTTACTGCCGTCAACTCTCTGTGTGACCTTAGCCTGGTCTCCCCACCTCTGGATCCACCTTTGCAGAGGCAGGGGCCTGGGAAAGGCGCTGGCCAGGGTCCCTGTCTGAGGTCCAGAACTGCGCCTGTTGGACAAGGCTGAGCGAGCAGGAGAACCCACTGGTGCCACCTACAGCCCAGGAGGAAAACGGCAGGCAGGAGGCAGTCCGTGGGGGACACTCACGGCCAGATCTTTGGTGGACGGCTCTTAAATGAACTCTCTTCCCCAAGAGGTGCCATCAGTGAACAAAATCTGGCTTTTACACATCTTTTAAACTGGTAGGCCACAACCCCAAAGAAAAATACAGCTTCCAGCATTCACTTCAGGAATAACTGCTCCTCCCAAAATGGAGGGAATGCAAATCATTTATTACCACAGAGAACTAGAGAGGACAATGTGTATGTTTTTTCTAGGTTTGAAGGAAAAACAATGAAAAAGCTTGTTATCTGAAAATTCATCTACAGCCCATGAGTCACCATTCTCCAAACCACTCCATGAGACTCACCCACTAGAACCTTCATGCTCTAAAAAACCAGGTAAGCAGATTTTTCACAGCTGAGGAAACCCATGTCAAAGGAATGCAAATAACAGAGTAACATGGTCAGTGCTGCCAGCTCAGAACAAGCCCAGGACTCACCCTAGGGATTCTCACCGTGAGCCTCCGTGCCCAACATTCCCAGCTGTGAGGAAGATCGGGGAGGCTGACGCCCCTTCAAAGCAAAGAGCTCACGTCAAGGACTGTTATCTTTCACCCTCGCATAAAAGCCGAGTGCTGCAGAGTGCAGTACCTCTGTGCTGGCTGCAGCGAACCCTCCCACGGTGGGGCAGTCTTCAGACATGGCCACTCACAAGCCCTCCCCACCTCAACCCTCCTGCCAGTGGAGTCTCACTGCCATCCCCAGTCTGGGCTGGTCCTGTGACGTACCCTGAGCAGAATGCAGCAGAAGTGATGTTCTGAGATTGCTGAGCCCAGAAGAAGATGGGACGCTTTCACTTCTTCCCTCTTGGAGCCCAGCTGCCGACCGATAAGGGCATCCAGGCTAGACACTGAGTGACTAAAGGCCACATGGAGAGAGGCCGTGGAGGACGCAAGGCCAGCTTGGACATGGAAAATAGCCACATGACGCACAAGCGAGACCAGCAGAAAACCACCCAGCTGAGCTCCAGCCAACCCAGAGAATTGTGAGGAATAATGAAGCAGGGATCAAAATCTCCATTTCTGGACTAGCTTCTCAAGGCGAGGAAGAGACTCAGAATAGTCTGGCACAAGTTTTTTATGTGGTGTCAAGAGCCTCCAACTTACTTCATCGTCTTCATCTTCATCATCATCAGATTCAAGAACACCATCCAGCAGCTCTTCTATAAAGAGAAAAATCAGTGAACAAGTGCAAACACAGCTGGAAGCCTCGGTCGACAAAATCCTCCTCTGCGCGCGCCCTAAGGAGAACTAACTTACATCAAAAAGAGCATGTTCCTGGCACCACTTGAGCCAGAGTTTGATATCACCCTAAGCAATTTTAAACATATCTCCCCATTTTTATCAGAACACAGTAGTAGTAGCATGAGCAAAGTTAAAAGCCAACATATAATTTGAGAGAAATTTAGGGAAAGTCAACTAATATTATTGCCAGTCACTGTGCTAGATGCTACCACACGTGTTAGTTCACTCAGTCCTTACGAAGACTCTGTTGACTCTTATCCTTGTTTTATAGCAAATAGCAAATGGAGGCACAGAGAGGATAAGGAACTTATTTGTGGTCACACTTCCAGTAAATGACAGAGTTGAGATTCAAATCAAGTCTATTTCTAAATCCCATGATTTTCCCACAGAGGCCAGGGGTGGTGGTCACAGCAGGTAGGGCTCCTGAAGGCTCCCGTGGTTCATTGCTGGGTCTTAAGAGAGTTTATGGAGGACGAATGAATTAGTAGCACAACGGAATCAGAGAAAGAATGATTCTCTGTTCCTTCATCTGCAAAATGGGTATCAGATCACCTACTTCCCAGGGTTGTTGGGAAGATCTTACAACACACCAGAACTAAACCACCCGGCCTAGGGCCAGGGACACAGCAGGCATTACAAAGAGCTGGTTACTTTCTCCTCCACGAAGCCTTCCTGATCCCTCACTGAGCGGTCAGCTCTCTCTCCCTGAACACTCTTGGCATTGTATCCAGAACGCTGATAGACTCACCACTTTCGAACAATCAATGTATACTAATGAATGGATGGCTGGGTAGCTTTCTCACCCACTGTCCTGGATTGTGAGTCCCTGTGGTCACAGCACCTGACTTACTCATCCCTATATCCTTCTACATCTTCCTTATTATCACTTGTTTCTTGTACAGATGACACGAAAGTAAAGAAAGCCTGAGAGAAGAGGAAAGGAAGTCAAACAGGAAGTAGGAGGAGAGAAGGAACCAAAGGCCATTCTTTTCTTTTCATTTTTTTTAAATTTCTATTTTTGTTTTTACAGCAGTAACATTGGATTATAACATTATATAACTTTCAGATGTACATCATAATATATTTCGAATTCTGTGTAGGTTACATCATGCTCACCACCCAAAGACTAACTATAATCCATCACCACACGTGTGCCTAACCCTTTCACCCTCCTTGCTTCCCCCTTCCTCTCTGGTAACCATCAATCCAATCTCTGTTGCTATGTGTGTGTCTATCACTGTTTTTATCTTCTACTTATGAGTGAGATCATATGGTATTTGACTTTCTCCCCTGACTTATTTTACTTCGCATAATACCCTCAAGGACCATCCTTGTTGTCACAAATGGCCAGATTTCCTCCTTTCTTATGGCTGAGTAACATTCCATTGTGTATATATACCACATCTTCTTTATCCATTCGTCCCTTGATGGGCACCTAGGTTGTTTCCAAGTCTTGGCTATTGTGAATAAAGCTGCAGTGAACATAGGGGTGCAAGTATCCTTATGCATTTGTGTTTTCAAGTTCTTTGGATAAATACCCAGCAGTGGAATAACTGGATCATATGTTAGATCTATTTTTAATTTTCTGAGGAATCTCCATACTGCTTTCCATAGTGGCTGCAGCAGTCTGCACTCCCACCAGCAGTGTATGAGGGTTCCCTTCTCCCCACATCCTCTCCAACATTTGTTGTTTCCTGTCTTGTTAATTACAGCTATTCTGACCGGAGTGAGGTGATACCTCATTGTAGTTTTGATTTGCATTTCCCTGATAGCTAATGATGTTGAGCATCTTTTCATGTGCCTGTTGGCCATCCGTATATCTTCTTTGGAGAAATCTCTGTTCAGATCTTTTGCCCATTTTTTAATTGGGTTGTTGGTTTTTTTGTTGTTGAGCTGTATGAGTTCTTCGTATATTTTGGATATTAACCCCTTATCTGATATGTGGTTTGCAAATATCTTCTCCCAATTGTTAGGTTGTCTTTTCATTTTGTTGATGGTTTCCTTTGCTGTGCAGAAGCTTTTTAGTTTGATGTAGTCCCATTTGTTTATTTTTCTTTAGTTTCCCTTGCCCGGTCAGACATGGTACTTGAAAATATGCTGCTAAGACCGATGTCAAAGAGCGTTCTCAGGCCATTCTTGAAGAGATTGCCCAGCACACTTAGGAAGGCAGCAGCTTCACCTAAACTTAATCAAACCCCAAAACCATTTTCTAGAAGGGAATAGCTAGAAACTCCAGGACACCTGTCATTCTCAACGCAGCCCTCATTCTAAAGGGAAGGACTCCACTGACTCGGCTGGACCCAGGCCGTTGGGATACCAACTTCCGGCTCCACCTCACGGGGGCTCACACACCTCCACGCCTATCATGGGCTGTGCTGTTGTCATGGAATGCTATTTAGTCAAAAAAGCTACTTTGCAGATAGGAGGATGCTGTGTCATTCTGCGTTTGGGCTGAAGCTTGACTACCTAACTTCTTTTGCCTACTGGTCCATGAACAGCACTACTCCATTCCACCTTTAGTAAGTGGCTTTCAAAATAGGTGTTGCTATATTCATCACTTATAAACCTTTCTTTTCAAATGTGGAAATGCCTTTTTTTTTTTTGGATCTTCAACACGTCGTGAGTCCCCAGGCTAGTCCAGCCATGTTCCCCTCCCTGAGCCTGTTGGCCAAGACTCCTCCCAGCCCCGGAACAATCCCATCCTGTGAAGTGAAGTACCTAATAAACCTCAGCTCTTCCTCTCTGGGATGTCAGGGACATCAGCCCTGTTCCCTACACTGTTCCCTGGGTTGTGTCCCCCAACAAGGTGCCCTCACTCCAATAACTACAGGGCGTGGCACTGCAGTTGCCCGTACCCTTCCTTTCCTGAGGGCCGGCTGCACACTGGAATCACCTGGGAGCATTTAACACTATTCGCCGCTTGGGTTCTCCTAGAGACCCTGATTTAACTGGCATGGGGCACTGCCTTGGGATTTTCAGATCTCCCCAGGTGACCGCCCTGTGCAGTCCAGGCTGTGAATCATGAGCTCGAAGAGCCACCTGAGGGCTTGCTCAAGCTGCTGACTTGATTAGAGATCAGCAGATTCACTTTTTATCTTGGCTCATGTGCTGAACAGGATCTGTGCTCTTGGACTTTCAGTGACAGGGACTGCTGGGTGTTGGGGAAGGGCATGTACAAAGATGTAAGTGACATACTTGGCCCTGGATGCTGGCAGTGTGTGAGTCAGGATCAAGGTGTCAGGAGTCCACAGAAAGAGCTAAGAGCTTCCCCACCACCTCGGTCCCATCCAAAGCTTCCTTTGCCCTCCTTTCCTGCTTATTATGGGATGCGCATTGTCATGGTAATGGAGGAAGCCAGATAGAAAGGGGATCACATTGTCCCAGGCTGCCAGTTGGCAACATAAATTTTTTAGGAGTGAATGAATGAATGTGGGAGGATGACGACATTTTCTACAGTGGTGCTAGAAAGACTGGCATCTGTTTTCATTATCTGACCCTGGGACCCCAGGTCCCCCCTTATGAGGTGTGGAAAGAATTAGGAAGGGAAACCCCACATAAAGAGAACTTACAGTTAGAGCAGTTTCTGTAATTGCTTTTGAATTCTTTTTGTTGATTATAAGCCTAAAGTGTGATGAGATATTGATCCTGGGATGATCTGACTTTGACTACCTGGTTGAACTTTTGTTTGTGGGTTCACTTGGGTCTCCCCACACCTCTTAAGGCCTCTTGAATGAATTCCAAGATATGACAAGCCCCTCTAGGAAAACCCATGTATCTTTCTGGCATACATGAAAGATTCAAAAGGTAGATCAGAGATTCTTGCAATAAACAGACCTGAATTTAGCTGCTTGATGATAAATTCAATCTGGCGGATCATTTCAGCATTGCCTTCTTTGATGAAGCAGCGAAGGATGTCTTCCATTCCCTGGAAGCATTGGAGAGAGTAAGAGGTAACATTTCAGGTTTTGGGGGGAAAACTACTTTTCAATGGGGTAGTTTCACCTAATTAAAAAAAACCCTTTTTTTCAGGGGGAAGGGATATGCACAATAAAAATTCCTCTGCTCAGTACTAAATATTCTTTTTCTTCTTTTCATAATTCACAGTACAATTGTTTTCTTCTTGGTTGACTGACCTAATTCTAACACATTTAGCAAGAAAAGAATATATTGCTTAATTTCACTGCATAAGTATTCCCTTCAGTTTGGGCATTATATTGTTTCAGGAGGTGGTTTCTTTTCTGTGTTTTCCTTATATTTATACACTGGCTTCTGGACTGTAGGGCCAAATAAAGTCTTTGAAAAGTGAAAGCTTATGCTCAGAGAAGTAAATGAACAAATAGCACCTCTTTTTAAAGAGCTGTCATTCTTTTTGTATCAAAAATTATAAAGTCACTACATGATGCATTATTTACTTTATTACAAAAGAGTGACATCAGAATTCCAGGGAAACGTAGAGATAAGATGCTGACTTAAGCACACGTGTCTATTTCCCCTCCTTTCTCTTTCCTTGCGGGATCTGAATGAGTATGTATGGCTGGAGCTGATGAGGCCTTCTTGCCACCACAAGGTGAAAGTGTATCTAATAATGAATCCAAAACAGAGGAAGCAGAGTCGAGAGGTGCCAGCAGAGAAAGAAATCTAGTGATATGTGACCCTGATCAAGCTGTGCCTGAAGCTTACACTTGGACTTTTCAGTTACATGAGCCAGTAAGTTCCCTTTTTATGGAAGTCAGTTTGGAGTCAATAGCTCTAACTGAATCAAAGAAGAAGTGTCAAGTGCAGTTTGAACGTGCTGAGTTCCCATCATCTAAAGCAAAGTATTGCCTTCTAGAAAGGTTCAATCTAGATTATAATCCTAGCTCCCACATAAATTAACTGTGTGACCTTGGTCAAATTACTTAGTTCCTCCCAGCCTGTTTTCTCAACTATAAAATAAGGGTGGCAACTTGAGTTAATACGAGATTTTTAAAAGATAAAGTATAAAATTGGGCGTTGGTTATGTAGATGTATATATCTGTTAAAATGCATTAAACTGCATACGTAAGCCTTGTGCATTTCACTGTTTATAAATTATATCTAAAAAAACAGCATCTGGTCCCACAGCTGGCACACAGCCGATACTCAACAAATGGCTGAGACTGTGCTTGCTGTGTCTGGTAGGGGTTTGCAGCTCAGAAGAGCGATCTGGTAACTGAAGCCAAGGGAATAAGTGAGGTTCCTGGTGATGGCAGAGTAAAGAAAAGAGGGTTAGAACAGAGCCTTAGAGAACAGTGACATTTAACTGGGAGGCAGACATCGATGAGCCCACAGAGGAGAACCTGAAGGAGTGGTCTGGAAGGAAGCACAACTCTGGATAGTCCTTAAGTCCAGGGAAGAGCTTTGCAAAGAGGGCATGGTCAGCAGCGCCAAGGGCCCCTGGGGGACCAGTAAGACACACCTGGGCTTGTCTGACCAGAGGCAGGCCCATAGCTGTCAGGAGAGCTGAATTTTTTGTCCCTCCATCTCAAAAACTGATCTTTTCTCCATTCTCCATCCCCACCCAATGTCAGGGCCAGAGGAAGGAGAACAGTATCATGAAAGCAGTGTGATAAACTGGAGAACACCAAAGATCAGGATCACTGCCCACCAGCTCGTGAGGTCAACGTCTTTAACGTCCTCACCAGCTGAGCGAGACACATCCACACAGGCTCCCCTCTATTGTTCTTCCCAGAGGCTGCTTACAACGGAAGAGCTTTTCATTCTCATTTGCTCTCTTTCCTTTTTTTTTTTTTGAGGAAGATTAGCCCTGAGCTAACTGCTGCCAATCCTCCTTTTTTTTGCTGAGGAAGACCGGCCCTGAGCTAACATCCATGCCCATCTTCCTCTCCTTTATACATGGAACGCCTACCACAGCATGGCTTGCCAAGCTGCGCCATGTCCGCACCCAGGATCCGAACCAGTGAACCCTGGGCTGCTGAAGCGGAATGTGCGCACTTAACCGCTGTGCCACCGGGCCAGCCCCTCATTTGCTTGATCTCTAGTTCAGTTGTTACTTGGGGAAAAAATCACAAACTCCTTCTCTGTAATTAGGAGGATTACTTGGGGAAGATTTCTTAATAGAAAATTCCCCAGTGAGAACTTTCACTTATTTTTTTAAACCATATATGTTAGGTAAGGTTTAATCTAAAATGTAAATTATAATAATAATAAATCACAAAAATACTATTTTATCATGGAAGTACTAATTTGTCATTTCAGATAATCCAGGCCAAATAAAAATGCCTGGAATCTTAAAGGGAAAGTATACCATTTCACGGACGGAGGGGGAGGAGGAGGAAGAAGGAAGTAGAAAATGAAGATTTTAATAAAATAAAAGCCATGGGCTCTTTTACTGAAAAAAAAATAAAGATGCCAGGGTAGAGGGAAAGGATAAGAACAGGTACTTGTGTATTAGCTAGATGTGTGTAAACGGGAACGCGAACAAGGTACAAAAAGTAAAACAGTAAGGAACTCATGGCCCTACCAGTGACCTATGATTAAAGATCACCACACAGCAGACCGTATTTGTGTTATGTGACTGATCATGTCCGGATTTCTCATCAGGTAAAACTCTGGGGGTGTATCCAGTCCCGAGTCTGGAGCGACACTGCAGCACAGGCCTGGAGAGCTCTGGAGCCAAACCGCCCGGGCTGGCCACTCCCTGGCTGTGTGACCTTGAACAAGAGATGTAACCTCCAAACCTCATTTCATCAGCAGCAAAATGGGCACGAATACAGTAACTCCCTCAGGGGACCTTCGGGAGGATTAAATGAGACAAAGCCCTCTCACAGGGCCTACGACACGCCAGAACACTGTACCATCTCACTAACTTAAAACCCGCCTCTCTCACGCTCAGCAATTCAGCTCTCCGCCATATTGTTTTGTTCCAGCCCAAAAAGACTAGACTTACATCACTAAAGGTCTCCAAGAGAAATTTGCCCCCTAGAAATACAAATATCTATTTCAGGTGGACAGAAATACTTTCCTTTAGTTATGAAAGTTATACAGGTTCTCTGTAGGAAACTTGTAAACTATACAAAAGAAAAGAATAAAAATTACTCACAAGCCTCTACACCCAGAGATAATAACTGAACATTTTAAGATATTTCCTGCCTTTTATGGGCACTGTTTCACCTAACTGAGACCATATTGATAACATAATGTTTATTCTTTTTCAATTTAACTTTATGATCATTTTCATGGATCAATAAAACTTTATAAACAATTTTAATGGCTGTAACAATAATAGTAACAGCTAACATTTTTCAGTACTTGCCATGTGCCAGGTACTGTTCTAAACATCTCATGCGTATCAGCACTTTTAATTCTCAACACAGTCTTAAGAGTCTGGTACTACAATAATCCCCATTTTACAGATGAACAAAACAGCTCCAATAAGAGATGCAGTCATTAGCCCAATGATATATAATACACCAGGAGGTCACAGGGGCAAGATTCAAACACAGCCCCAGGCTTGGGAGCTCCCACTCCTCACCACCTCACCCTCCATCTCTGTTCTGCCTGATTCATTCCCCTAATGCTGGGCATTCCGGTTGCTTCCTGTTTTCCAGTGTGATCAGCAATGCAGTAATGGACACTGTGATACAAGAATCTTTGTTCATGTCTTCTACAGAGCTCCAGAAGTAGAATTACTGGGCAAAGAACATGAATATTTTTACAAAAAATTTTGTATCAATTTATAATCCTCTCGGTAAGATTTCCACACTTATTTTGAAAAGCCCACACATAATGGATGCCATGGAATATAGTGAACAGCCTGACCAACTGTAATGGACAATTGCTAGATCTGTGGCTGATGAACACTTTTTATTTTTTTAAGTTTTTTTTTTGCTGGCTAGTATTTTAACAAAATCAATTGTTTTCAAAAATTTTAAAAATTAATTATTTTCAACACCAATAGTCTAGTTCTTATCTGTCACATGTGCCCCTTTATCCCTTTTGCCCTCCTCCCACCCCCTTTTCCTCTGGTAACCATTAATCTGTTCTCCTTATCTATGTGTTTGTCTTGAGGAACACTTTTTAAACAGCTTCTGTACAACATGTTAATTTCCCACAGTAGCAGCCAGAATATTAGCATTCCCAGCCTCCCTTGCAGCTAGGGTGCAGGCAGGTGACCTAGATCCTGCTGATCAAATGCACCCATGTGAGACTGACTTGAAAGTGGGCAATGGGAAGAATCAGACACATGAGGAATACACATCTTTTCGACAGTTGGGGACAATGGCATCCAGGCCTTTGGTGACAGCAGAGGTAGAGTTTCTAGTGTGAGTGGTGGGCCCCAGGGTCATGGTGTAAGCTGCAGGGGTGGTATCACTCCTCTTGGCTGTGTGCCTCCTCTGCCCAGCTCCCTGGCTCTCCCAGAGACTCTGGGAGCCTTCACAAACAGCAGAGCATCTGGTCTGCCCCAGCCCTGGGCGGATGGCTGGGCTGGGCTTTAGCTTCCAGGGAGGAGCACCATGGCCGACAGTTAGCCTCGCCCTGGAAGCAGGCGGCTTTGGAATGGGCATGAGGGCAGCCCTATCCATCTGAACTGCTCTCCAGCCCCAGACCTTGGTGAACTCTTAAAGTTCAAATGAGCCTCAGGGTACTCATTTATCTTTTTCTCCTTTTTTTTTTTTTTTTGGTATTATTTTAAGACCATCATAATAGCCTTTGGTACTAATATAATTTTTATGTATTCTTCGTCATTTTCCACAAGCACACAAGTGCTTTACATGATTGCAAAAACAGAATTTTTATAATCTCATATTCTGCTTTTATCCCTCATTATACAATAAAATTTTTCCATAGTCTTATTGCTTTTCCTAATTATCATCTTCAATAGCTATTAATATTTTGAGCAAAAGAATTATAATTCCATTAGCAATTCCTCTATGTTCCGGTTTTTCACTAATGTAAAAATGTTGAAATGAGCATCTCTATGCATAGAGCTCTTCTCTGCACCAATAACCAAAGGAAAAGGAATTAATCCAAAATACGGAGGTTCTCCTGGTTTTTCCTATATAATACCAAATTTCTTTCCAAAAGGACTGTGCCAGTGCACAGTGCAAACGCCAGCATGGTCTGAGAACGTCGGCTCTGCCACCACTTTCCGGCACTGTGTATGAGCTGATGTGAGGGTGGTGAGATTATCGACAATGTTCTCCTCATTGTCTGGTTTCCTTTATTATTGTTATTTGCAAAAAGAATACACTACCTTTTATCAATCTAAAACTTCCTCAAGGATAAGAGTGGAATGAGGGAAATTTCAGGGTTTTAGAAAAACTCTGTTGTGGCCATAACCTCCCTTAGGGCCTCTCTTACGAATAGTTAATAGGCAACTGCTTAGGTGATATGTCCAAAGGCTTCCTCAGCTCAGGCAACAAGGGCGCTCCTCCATTAGCTTATGACTTTGATCCCTGTTAAAACGCAAGTGGGAAGCTTAAGCTACTTATACCTTTTCCTAAGTGTTCCAAGTTTTCTTTCTAAAGTCAACTATTTCAGAGGCTGTCTAGAAACTTACGTCAGAAACTATAAAGGAAAATATTAACAGACTTGACTATAATTAAAGCTGTCATATGACCCAAAACACCATAATTAAAAGACAAGTAAAAAATTGGAGAAATAATTGTAATATATGTCAAAAGATTAATAGCCCCTAATTTCCCTTGTGATTTCTTCTTTGCTCCACAGGTGACTTACAAGTGTGTGGGAGCCAGCTTCCAAGATGGCCCCCAGTGATCCCTACCTCCTGGCATTCATGCTTCTCAGCAGTCCCCTCCCACACTGTACCAGGGTTGGTCTGCGTAACCAAGAGAATAAAAGGCATGGTAGTCACCCCTGAGATTAGGCTATAAAGGATACTGTGCCTTCCACCTTGCTCACTCTGCCTCTCTGGGCTCACTCACTCAAGGGGAAGTCAGCTACCGTGTAGAGAGAAGCCCTATGGAGAGGCCCATGTGGCAAGGAAATGAGGTCCCCAGCCAACAGCCAGCCACGTGAGTGAGCCTGGAGGCGGATTGTCCAGCCCTATCAAGTCTTGGCTGCCTGGGCTGAAGACGTGACTAAAATCTAATGAGAGATTCTTAGCCAGCACCATCCCGCTAATCTGCTCTCAAACTTCTGTCCTACACAACACTGTGAGAGAATAGTTTGTTTTTTTTGAGCCCTTAAGCTTTGGGGTAATTTATTACACAGCAATAGATAACAAACACAATAGTGCTGCTTAATTTCCAAACATTTTGGGATTTCCTAAATACCTTCTTATTACATTTCTGTTTTTCACCAACTTCCATCATTATTTATTCAACCTTTTCTCTGCCCCACTGCCTCTGTCTCCCCTCCTCCTGGGACTCCAGTTACACGTGTGCGAGCCCTCTGGCTCTGACTGCACAAGTCTCTGAGGCTCTGTCCCTTCTTCAGCTTTTTTCTCTTGGGCTTGGATGATCTCTAAGGTCGTCCTCCCTCATGTCCTACACCTACGGGTCTCTCCTGCCCACGTGGGCCCTGCCACTTTAATGCCTTCTCCACCCCGTCGCCCTGGATGTCTCTCTTCCGTGCTGCCTTTCACGCTCTGGGATTCCATGTCACCTCCTTTCTCTCTCTCTCCTCAGCCCATGTGTTTTCTTCCTTGTTCTCTGCCTTGGTTGACAATTCCTCTTTCACCTGATTGACCATAAGGCAGAAATTAATCAAGTTTATTTTCCCCTGTTCTATATGGAAAAAGCAGATTTTTGATTTAAAAGCAGTAGGCAATTAAGTTCCACTGTTTACTGTGACCACACAGAATGGTTCTTAAGTTTTTATCTCTGGCATAACTGTTCATGTAATTTTAGATGAACAATTAGAAGATTAAGCAATTCTTCTAAGTAAGCGAAACTTAAGCGGAAGAATATGTTTCATTGGTCTCAAACTGAATTTAGCCTGTGGCTTGACTGTGGAAATATATCTAATCCCTTCATCGTAGCACTTAATACGCACTCTGTTAACCTGATTTCACGTCGTAAGGAAAAAGGACAAAACTCCAATGGTTTCACTGTTTAGATCTACGAACATCTGTCATCTCAAAGCAAGATGCTAATCACCTGAGGCTTGTTTTATTCTTCCAATATAAGCTAATGTAAATGTAATGGAACAAATTGTAATTAGTAACGTAAATACATTATGGAAACACATTAAATGTGTTTTGTACTAACGTAAACACGTTAAATATTGAATTCACTATGTACCAACCAAACCAAGTACCAGACAGTTTCATCACCTTTATCAGCTTTTCTCTTCCATTTGGTTGCTATCAGAATATCTGCAGATTAAAAGAGTGTTTTGATTGTGCCAGTTCTCAGTTCTGCCACAATTCCTCCAGGAATCCGGGAGGTGAATTTGAGTGATGATTTTTTTCCATTTCATCATTTTCCTGCTAAGTTTCTCCTACTACGAAATCCATAAGCATTCCCTAAGCCCCAAATTAAAATGGGTCATTTAAATTAAAAAAAAAAACAATGTCTTCAGCTTTCCAAAAATAAATCCTTCTGGGAACTTTCTAACACTGTGGTTGTTAATCATTTAGGAGCTAGGAATCCCTTGAGAATCTGATAAAAGCTACAGACTCTCTCCCCAGAAAACTGCAAATAAGTAAACGGCATACAACTTCAGGGAGTTCATAAACTATCTGCAGCCGTCGCACGGAGCCCAGCCCAGGAACTCCTTGCTCTCCAGCTTCTGAACTGTGGCACTGATAGAAGCTTACACATTTACTTTCTTACCATTGCTCTTGCTTCCTCACGAATGGATGGAATAGAAAGAATGCTGTACAAAGCTCCATTCACATACGGCTGTATCTTTAAGGGGAGAAAAAACAGTCATTTGCAAGTTCTCAAATATTATGCAACTCAATGATCAAACACTACACTTGAGAACAATCTGGCTAACAGGAGAGTGAGCATTACCCTCTTCACAGCTCTCCTGAGCTCTAGGATGCATGACAGACATCTCCATTTGCATGTTCCAGTGACAGCTACAACTAAAAGTTCAAAACCAAGTTCATCATTCCCTCCCAAAGCTTAGTTTCATTGCCTAATTAATGTCATCCTGATCACTCAGCCTAGAACCTCTGGAGTTATCACTGATTCCTCTTTTTACTCTCCAATGTCAAGTCTCCAAGCTATCTTCAACAGGGACCCTTCTTTTCCATATGCACTGCTACTGTCCTTGTTCAGGTATCATCGTCCATGACCTAGGCCACATCACATCTCCAAATGAGTCTCTCTGCCTTCGATGATCACCCTTTAATCCAACTATCGTATCACTGCCCAAATTCTACAACATGGGCCAAATCATCCTTCTCCCTACCTCAGAAACTTTCCACAGGGCCTAGCTGGAAAGTCCTAACTCTTTAGTATAATACTCAGGAACATTCAACGTTTGGCCTCTAAATCATCTCCCTCTGCTCCTCCTTTCCTGCCACCGTGAAGTTCACACTGCACAGATTCCACCCTACTTAAGGGACTTCTCCCTCAACACACACACCCCCCCACACACCTTGACCTGGTTCTAGCACTTCACCTTACTGGGAATGCTCTTCCCACGTGTGTCTAACTGGAAAGCTATGATTCATCCTTTAAAACTCAGCTCAGACATCTCATAGGGAGCCTTTTCCTAACCCCCTACACAGGGTCCACTCTGCTTCCTGCATCCCTGCACGAACGCACTGGATTCAGTGAATTTTTAAATTTATACTTATGTCTCACCTATTATGAGCACTTCAAGGACAGGACCCATGTTTTACTCACACAGGCAACCCCGACGTTAAGCCTGAACAGGATGTGGTACACAGCAGGCGCTGAATAAATGAGAGCTCTCTTTGAGCAGAGGTGTGCTGCATCCTCTCCCCAGCAATGGAGGAGGGCTCCTCTCCCACCACCCTTTCCAGCAATGGACTTTATTATCATTTTTAATTTTTGCTAATCTAATGGGTTAAAAAAAATCCTATAGTTGTTTTTATTTTCATTTCCCTGACTCTAGAAAAATTAAACATCTTTTCATGTTTATAGGCCATCGAGATTTACTATTCTATAAATATCCTTTCCTCTTTGTTTCCTGGTGGCTTTTTTTCTGTTTGACTTTTACTTATCAATTTATAGGAGCTCTTCATATATTAGGGATATTAAACTTTTGTCAGAGGTGACGCACATTTTTTTTTCAGGGTATTGTTTGTTTTTTGACTTTGATTACAGCATCTTTTTCCATACAAATAATTTACTGTTCACATAGTCAAATACATGCATCTTTTTCTTTATAGCTTCTGGGTCTTGTCTGTCAAGACCATGACTATCTCATACAGTATACATGCATACAGTATACATGATATAAATGATACATAGGTATCATTTATTTGTGCAGCAAACACATTTCTAGGCTCTAAAATACATATTGGTAGATTTTCCAGCTCATTTTCAAAGCAAATGCATTGGAAACAGTTAATGCCAAGATTTGAATCCTTTGGTCTATTCAGTTTTCAGAGCGGACACACTGGTTCCAACACTTGAAACCAACCTAATTAGACGCCAGAACATACTTCCCATTGGGCTCAAGTGCCTGAGTTGAATACAATGGACAGCAGAGCTCACTCAGGTGTAGAAGAAGTTAAGAGCTCGCTGACTTTAAAACACAAAAGGCACAGCACACGCTGTAACAGGCACCACTCGCTAACGCAGCCCACGCCGCCCGGCTGACGGGCCGGGGACGGAGGACGCGGGAGAAATGCACGGAACCCGACGCAGGGGCCCAGCCGTGCTCAGGCCCGTCCTGCTAACAGACCCCTGCACCTGATGGGGTGAAAGAGGCCAGACTTCTGCCGAGGTTTTGGCTTCAGGTGCAAAGTGATGCCATGGTTTCCGCAAAGGCATTTGCAGAAAGCAGGTGAGAGAATTATCACATCGTTTATTAGTTTTTGTTAATTAGTTTGTCTAGACCTCTATTTTATTTAAAAAGGGCTTGCAAACCATGGGCTAGACAATGGAGAAGATCGCACCAGTGTTGGGGACAATACCAGTATAAGAAGAAGGTAGAACAGCCATTTTGCAGGACAGTTGGGCACTACTCTGCCCTGAGGCTGACGCACAGGTGAGCCGGCAGAGACAAGTGTCTCTGCTGCCCAGGAAAGCTCTGCGCAGGCCCTCGTGGGGCAAGTTCGCGACATCCACTGAGGACCGCTGTGGCAGCACAGAGCTGGAACCAACTGAAGTGGCCACGCCCGGGGACTGGATATTAAATGGGAGGGCTGCAAACAAGGGTCACTTTGCAGTAGTGACAGTTAAGGAGCTAGATGTATATAAAGCAACAGAAAGATCCGAAAAACACAGAGAAAAAGTAAGAAGGAATGCTACAATGCAATCCTATTTCTACAAATTAAATATATCCACACACACCCACACGCAATATCAGATAAATTTGCAGGCTATATGCACATCCACAGACACATATTAAACATAACAGAAGAGTGCCAACCTGGGGGTAAGAATGAAGCAGAGAGAGATGATAAGGAGAGAAAAATAATGCATGAGAGGGAGCTAGCACAGGTCAGTGAGGGCAGGGCGCTAGTAAATGGGGAGTGGAGGAACAGCTTCCTGCTTCTGAGCCCCAGAATTTAAAACTTAGAAAAGCTTTGAAGTAGCTTACACAAACACTTGGAGGTGGCAGAGTGCAGTAACCATCTTGGGCCAGCCCTCCCCCAAGCCCAGGACTAGCAGCGAAGACTGAGTACCTCGTGGTTTTCGTGGCCGAGCAGATCTGAAAGAACTTTCAGCACGAGGCCTGCCACCTTGGCACACATGTTCTTCCCTTCAGGAAAACAACAAAACAAAACATAACATGACTAAACTCAGAAGCACCGTTGCAAGTCAAGCAGACTTGAACACAAATCTTGGCTCCTCTGCTTATGAGCTGTGTGACCTTGCTGTGTGACCTTGGGTGAGTCACTAAACCAATCTGGGCCTCAGTTTCTTCCTCTGGGATTCCTTAGGGATTATTAATATTGACCTCACAGGCTAGTGTAGAATTCAGTAACTCAGTATAGGCTGGCATACTCCGAGTGCTCAGTAAATGGCGGTGGTTATTATTATGCACGCAGAGCACAGAGCTACTCATTGGAGTGAGAGCACCACATACTATAAGCAGAGTTCTACCTCCCAAGTGCACATGCCATCATCATGCTAATCACACAGGTACTTTAGTAATTCTGAACATCATCATAACAATCATTGCAAATAAACAGATGATCATAAGAAAAGCTGACAATAATCTGATAAATGTTTTAAAGCTAGGACATTTGCATATGCTATTTTTTAAAAGAGGGAGATTGAAATAACAGTCATTCATTCGACAACACACAGTTAGGCAGTTCAGATGACAAGGCACCCAAGGGTGAGGAAGCTTCTAACAAACACCCTGGAGCTATGTATCCAGGGGCCCCTCTTCTCCCTGTACTGGGCTGCTCAGATGGAGGTCAGCCAGAGGCTGGATGTGGCACTTCTTCTAAAGAGGCTTCTTGCATCCCAGGTAACAGATCATTTAAATGGGATGGCACCTGTACAAAGCTAAAATCACTACTTTTATTGATCAAGGACATAAATGACTTTAGATGTTCCCCAGAGAAGCTCCACTTCCAGGGGGTGGAGTGAGACATGACTGTGATTAACAGCAGGGAGCAGGTTATCTTTGCTCGGCCACCAACTGAGTCCTGTAGAACCTTGGGAACATACTTCTCTGTCTTCAGATAAAACGGATCGTAATTCTTAACTTCCGATCTTTGAGTAATGCAATGAAGATGAGGAAAAATGTAAACTAATTTAATTTCCTCTTAATGTGGGCACTGCATATATATAAAATACTCTTTCCAAAGCCAGAACGGTATTTTGGCTTCCGGGATGCAACAGCTTTATACCTAGTTGGAAATGCTTTACACTCTGTTTTCAGTTTTCTATGAGGGAAACTAAAGGCAAACCACATCAGGCTCATTGGTACTCCAGATTCAAGGGTCAGGATCTCTTCCCCTCCCCACATGGGAGCCAAGGGGCGGGCGCTGAGGCTGGGAGACCTGCGCTCCGGAGGCAGAGGTTCATGAGCAGAGCCACCGAATACTCCAGCGTGTAGTCAGACAGGCAGTCGGGGTCCTTCAGAATATCAATGAGCCAGAAGATGAGGCCATCTCGAATCATCGCTGTCTGCAGCGGGCGCCTGGGAAGAAAACACCTACAGGTAAATCACAGCTGGCAGGAAACTTTTCACCCAAGAGTATGGAGTAATGCGACTGCATTCAGAAGTGACAGAGTCCCCGGAAGACAGACTCTGCGGAATATCTTATTGTCAGACCCACACAACTGAAACAACAACAATAAACTCTACACCCACCTCAGGGACATTAATGGTTTAAAGAAAGATACGGCAGGAAGGAGACCTTCTACTTTGAAAGTTTCCTTTTCAATATTTAGAATTAGCAGGATATTATTTCAAATATTTAATAACTATTTATTGATAGCTTTTGTTTACTTAACCCAGGAAACAGAGTCATAGAAATAATTCATTGACAAACAATTTTTACCTAAATTCTAGCCTATATAATCCAGCATAGGCACTTTGAGCTGCGTAAAAACAAAAAAAAAAGAAAAGGAAAAAACTAGCTCAATACCATTTTGATTCAGATCTCTGTAGAGCAAGGGTAATTTAATAACCTGAGTAATATAATTTATATCGAATTTATTTTCCACCCAAGGTCTAGGTGTAAAATCTTACAAAATCCAATGGCTCATCAAAGTGTGTTATAGTAAATGTCATCACGTCAGTCTTAAGAATTGACGAGACTAAGCATGGTATCACCATGAGAAGTCATCTGAATTCTTTGAAAATCAAACAGCATGGTGGAACCACCACTGTGCATCTCCTAATGAACAGGTTATGGTAAACCTATCACCAAGGACAGTAACTGTTCATGCTATTCTTAAACACAACACCCACCTGATCAATGTAATTTATTAGAATACAACAAAGACTACGCTCTTTTGGTAAGCCTTGCTACTTTCTACATTCATCGTAGAGACTCTGGAAAACTGCAAAAACATCAAGCACATTTCTAGAACAGAAAAGCTTAAATTACTGTTTGAAGGAAAATAAAAAATTGGCAGTACGGTAAATATCTGCATTACCAGGCAGAAGTATTTCTTCACCATATCTTAACTCTGTTACTATAGTTATTGAATTTCTAAAAGTTTTCCAAATACATTCAACATCAAGCTTAATTATCTTTATAAACAAACAGAAAGGAAGTGTTCATATGATCTGAGGAAGTAAAATCTGTGGAGATTACTTAGTTCTTTTCAGTTCATATTGTTAAATAAGAAATTTTCATCAGCAGGGACCTGGCAAATAGGAACTACACACCTACAGCTTTCCCTCACTAAACATTTACCCACTTAGAACACATCACTTTACAGGCTTCAGGTCATCAGTAAGAGTCAGTCAAATGTCAACCACATCTGATGGGAAGAAAGTGTGTTCAGAGGAGGACTGGCAGAAAAAGCTGAGGACTCAAGGTACTAAAATTCTTAATAAAGTCAAAGAGAAAGTGAGGTGGTCATAAGGGAACATGGATGCTGGAAGAATTAGCATATGACCCAGCAATTCCACTCCTAGATACCTACCCAGGAGAAAGGAAAATATACATCCACACAAACACTTGTATGCAAACGTTCATAGTGGCACTGTGCACAGTAGTCAAAAAGTAGAAACGACCCTCATATCCAAAGTACTGATATGTGCTACCACATGGGTGAACCTCAAAAGCATCATACCAAGTGAAAGAAGCCCGTCACAAAAGAACACATGTCATATGATTCCATATGAAATGTCCAGTACGGGTAAATCCACAGAAAGCAGAGTGGTGGCTACTTGGGGCGAGGGGTAGGAATGAGGAATGACTGTAAATAGGCAAGAAGTTCCCTTTTGGGATGATGGAAATGTTCTAAAATTAGATTGTGGGAATGGTCACACAACTCTGTAAATATAGGACAAATCACTGAATTGTAGACTTCAAATGGGTGAACTTTTTGGTATGTAAAGTACATCTCAACAAAGCCGTCAATTAAAAAACAAAGCTCTCGGAAGACATCAGATCTGGTTCAAGGAGAGGTGTCTGATTTTCAAATTTCTGAAGTGGAGCAGTTCCAAGACATGACAGGGTCCAGGCTGAGGCTACAGGGAGGCTCGCTGGGATGTATGGAGGCTCCAACTCTGCCTTCTGCAGAAGTCACACCTACTCTCCTTGTGCATCTATGTGCACATCCCCCACAACGGACTGTGAGCAACTTGAGGGCTGAGGCTCTCAGGTTTCATTCATGTGTATAGCTCCAAACCTTGCACATGGCCTCAGACACAACCTAGCACCTGGTCAGCACTGCATGATGTTCATTAGGAGAATATAACAGTGCTTTAAAAATGTCTTCCTCCTGGGCTAGCCTGGTGGCCGAGTGGTTAAGTTCACGTGCTCTGCTTCCATGGCCCAGTGACAACCCAAGAGACAGACCTGGGCATGGACCCAGCACTGCTCACCAAGCCATGCTGAGGTGGCCTCCCACATAGCAGAACTAGAAGGACTTACAACTACAATATACAACTATGCACTGGTGGGCTTTGAGGAGAAGAAGGAAAAAAAAAGATTGGCAACAAATGTTAGCTCAGGGCCAATCTTCAAAAAAAAGCAAAAGTCTTCCTCCATCCACAGCAGCCTTGAGCAGGATGGTTTAGAGGATTAGAGATACGCTTTCTAGCTCTATCTTGGAAAGTCACCCAACCTCTCCTAAGCGCTGGCTGAAAAAATACCATTTGCCTCTTGGGTTGTCTCTGGGACTGAATAAGCACAAACCAGTGTTTAAAAAAAAAAAAAATTTGATTTCACAGGAGCTGCCATAACGTATTGCACGGTTAGCACCTGAGGCTGAACTTCTGCAAGGCCCCAAGAACATTCTCCCGGGTGATGATGTCCTTGTCTTCCTCCTTCAGCCTCTCCTCCAGCATCCGCAGCACCTTTGTGCTCTGGGCTAGGTAGAGGCGACCTATTAATAAATCAGAGATGAACAAGTGAGAAAGGGAAAGAATTCATCTTGTGTTAAGTTCATGCTCCAAAACCACTTTCTATGAAAACTTTGCATACGACACATGTAGAGTTTGTATAATTTTATCTTCTAAAGAACTTATTAAAACATATTTCTCCTGCGAAGTTGGTTTTAATGAACAGAAAACCACTCTTCGTGTACTCTAAACGTAGTTCATCACTATGTTCTTATGCGTAGCAGTGTCCTTTATTTACCTGAAATGTTGAACCCAAAAGTCAGGTCCATGAGGAGAAAGGGTGTGGGGAATCTGGGTGAGATGAGCCCCTTAGTCGCTACAATAGAGGCAGCCAAGTAGTGCTTTCTGGCCACGCTCCTTGATCCTTCTAGATATGCCCATGGCCTGGAGAAGAAGTTGGGCACTATATCTGGGACCCTATTTATAAGCCTAGAATTGTCACTAGCCTGTTGTGGACTTCTTGACACTGACAATGTTAATTCCATATGTAAATTTCAACAGTCTTATATGAATGGTCCCTGGCACATACCTGGCTTGTGATAAATATGTGCTAAATGGACGGAAGAACGGACAAGTGAATGAATGAACAAACTTTTGGAGTATAGTATATTCATAATTTGAAAATTCCCCTTATCCAGGTTAAAAAGAGATTAAACATATTAGAACTTAAGAAATATGATGGCACTTTGTAAAATCATTTCGAATTCAGTTATGGTGACGTGTTATTTTTGGAATTTTCGAATCCTCTAGATTTAAGAGGTAATAGTCCTTCGAAGGAAACGGTACAGTGCTTATTTGGATCAGCTTTAATTGTTTCACCAAAATAAAACCAGAAGGCTTACAAAACAAGCTCCAAAATCATCAAAATTTGGTCTGACATAAACTACAGCAACATGACAACTAATTTTCACAAAAGACCTTAGAGGCATTAAACTGTAATAAACTGAGGGAACATATGTCATCTCTAATAAATTTGGGGAAGAACATCCATTCTCAAAGGAAAAAACACATCAGTAAGACCTGGCTCTTCTTGAAGAAAGATGACATCTTACCTTCTGCCAGGGAGGCAAAGGCGTTGATGAGCCTGGCCATGTACTGCCGCACCACCTCACTCCTGGAGTGCAGCAGCTGCAGCACGCCCCTCTGTGGGGAAGAACGGCCAAGTTACAGAAAAGTGAGACATAAACATACGTCTCCTCTATGGGTCTGGTCTTCTCTTCCTCTGGGTGAATTTATTAGAGGTGAAATAAACAGAATAAAGCCAAAAATTTCATCTGGAAATCTTGATTTCCAACTGATTATTTCTGAGGGTTTATAAAAATAAGTTATTCAGACTCCTAAATTAAAAGAATTAATTATAGAAAGCACTTAGAACAGGGACTGACACAAGGAGGCAACACTGTTGCTATTATTGTTGCTTATGTTTTTCCGGGTTAGAACGACAGATCCAACGCATACATCTAGTTCTGCTCCCTCCAAACAACAGTAGAACTACAGTAAATGGATTTTTAAAAGAGACACAAATTCTCAAGGACAGAGAGAACCGCACAAGAAACTATAACAACACAATTCTGGAATCAGGAATGCAGGATCGCAACAGACCTAGCAGACACACGAATGCCAAACAGGCAACAAGAGATTGCCCAATTTACATCACTTAGTCCTCAAAAGGCTCAAGAACTGGGCAAAATAAAGATGAACGAACGAAAGCTGTTAAAGAAGCAGCTGTATCCCAGTCCAGTGGCTCCTGCACGCCTCCCACCCAGGTCTGGGTGCGCTCTCTTTGGAGGGTAACACAAAGGGTCTCTGCATGGGGGACACCAGGCACAGGTGAGCAAGGCTTCCACTCCACAATGGAGAGGGGCAGCGCCTAAATGCAGAGTGAACGCTGAACAGAGAGCCACCCCCATGCCTCTTCCCCTTCCTGGCTCCCAGAACACTGGCAACCAGACCCTTACCGTCTAAGCAGGAGACCAGAAGACACTTCTTGGAGGAAAATGACCAGCCCAAGGGAAAGAACTAGAGATCCTGAAACAAAGGTTCCTAACAGATGGCCACCCGGATCCCCCTCAGTGGAGCTCATGTCTAGAGGCCCTACTCTCATCCTCAGAACTTCCACTCGGCTTTTCAGTCCCCCATCTAAACATTAGGAGATAACCAAGGTCTACCAGAACCCTAAGGAAAGTTTCTAACCTGGAAAATAAAGCCAAAACAAATGGGCGGGGAGGCAACTTGCAGGAGGTGAGACTGTGCGGGGAGAAGAAAACTAAAAATAAACAAAAATTTGTCACTAATATCCTGAGAGACATAAGAAGCTATATTGTATCCCTGAAACAACAGAATGCTGTCAAAAATAAATGAGCTCTTGGGCCAGCCTGGTGGCACAGTGGTTAAGTTTGCACGCTCTGCTTCAGCGGCCTGGAGTTCGCCAATTTGGATCCTGGGCATGGACCTAGCAGAGCTTATCAAGGCATGCTGTGCAGGCATCCCACATATAAAGTAGAGGAAGATGGGCACAATGTTAGCTCAGGGCCAGTCTTCCTCAGCGAAAAGAGGAGGATTGGTGGTAGTTGTTAGCTCAGGGCTAATCTTCCTCAAAAAAAAAAAAAGGAGTTCTCCAAGTGCTAAGGCTGCACACTAAAGTTTGAGAAACACTTGGCTGGACAAACTAACTAACCAACCACTTCATTTCCTGACTGAAAGGGTCAATTTATTTTGGTGTCATGGTGACACGGCATGCATGTTACATAAGGAGGTTTCCTGTTCTGTAGATTCTCTGACATCTTAAGATAACTCCAGCAGGCCCCCAGATTATTATTATTATTATTTTTAAACTTTTTTTTGGTGAGGAAGATTCACCCTGAGCTAATATCCATTGCCAATCTTCCTCTTTTTTTTGGTGAGGAAGATTGGCCCTAAGCTAACATCTGTGCCAGTCTTCCTCTACTTTGTATGTGGGATGCCTCTACAGCATAGCTGATGAGTGGAGTAGGGCTGTACCTGGATCTGAACCCACAAACCCAGGCTGCTGAAGCAGAGTTCATGGAACTTTAACCACCTGGCCACAGGGCTGGCCCCACGTTATTGTTTTTTTTAAAGGAAAAAGCACTGGGGCCAGCCCGGTGGCATAGTGGTTAAGTTTGCATGCTCCAATTCGACGGCCCAGAGCTCACTGGTTCAGATCCCTAGCACAGACCTACACACCACTCATCAAGCCATGCTGTGGCAGCATCCCACAGACAAAACAGAGGAAGACTAGCACAGATTTAGCTCAGCAACAATCTTCCTCATCCAAAAAAAAGAAAAGAAAAGAAAAAAGCACTACCAATAAACTATAACAGGCCATCAACTATTAGATACACTCCAATTTCAGAGATGCCAAAGTGGGGAGGAAAAGCACATCTTAGATTCAATGGAATATGACAGCTCAGAAAGAATCAGTATTGAATTTGCTCTTTGAACCTGAGTTTCTAAGTCATAACCACATACTATTCAACTGCTTCCTACCTTATAGGCTGGTTTCAACGTCACTACAAATACAAACAGAAAGAAAAGGAAAAGAAGTCAAGAATTTGAGAGACTATTTCTCAAAATTAACTCTCCTATGGGAGCAATAAGACCACATTCAAAGAATAAACTGGCACTCAAAACTCCGGCCTGTCATCGCCTGTGCACCCAACAGATTAACGCGCCACTCAGCTTTCACAGGGCGCTGTTTCATCAGTGACCCTGAGACGTATTGATACTCCACTCAGCGCACACACACTGTGAAGCTTAACAACAGGGAGACAAAGAAGGTAGAGCATTCTGCATGAACATGCAACTCAAATAAGTGAAATGCAGTGTCTTCTCGATACATGCCATGTTCAAGATCTCGATCCTCCTCCCGTCCAGTGAAGTCTGGCGCCAGTAACAGGTAAGGGGGTGAGGAGTGAGGAGAATGACCATGTGTTGACTACTCTGTGCTGGGCCCTGGCTGAAGCACTTCCCACATGCGACCACATGCAGTCAGTCATCCCGACAACCTCATGAGGCAGGTGATGGCTCCTTCTCAGGGATGGGGAAGCTCCCTGAGACTGAGTGCCTTGCGTCATTGCCCACTGCATCATTGGACCTATCTGGTCCAAAGCTATCTACAAATAGTGTTAAAGACACACTTTAATTCAGGCAGACCCAGATGCAAAACACTGGAATTTGCTTACCTACCTTGCCCATCATAAGTCCTGCTGAGCTTGCAGACTCATGGTAGCAGTGGGAAAGAGGGGGCAATTTGAGAAAAGGAAAAACGGCAGAGAAGAGCTCCCGAGTTGACTCAAGCAGTTCTAACTTGTTCAGGACTCTTCATAGAGGTGAAAAGTGGGCCAGCGTCCAGAGTGAACAGCAGATCTCACTAGCTACAGGAGCTGCAGGCTAACATATGGTCACTGTGCTCAAAATACGCATAGAAATGGAAGCTTCCCCTTCTGAGATCGTCCCCTAGAGTGGAAGGCTCTGGCTGGGCTCTGGCCCACCTCTCACCCACCTGGCTGTGGCTATGACAGTCCAAGAGGTCGTTGCTGATGTACGCCTGCAGGACAGTCTCCCTCTGCTCTCCAGGATGGGACGTGGTCAAGCGCTAGAAGGAAGAAAAACGAAAGTAACAAGACCTAAGTCTGAACATGGAGAGAAATGTTAATATAGCAGGTATGTTTTAAATTGCAGTACCAGTAACTACACATTTTACCAAGCAAAATGAAAAACATCCAGCTGCGGGGCTACATATCCAGTCAACAAATCAAATAGCAAGAAATTACAATGTCAAACTTCCTAACAGGTGATATAGTAGTCAACTTATCCACAGGAGACCTCCAGGGAAGAGAGGCGGCAGATGCCTGGCTTGTTAAGTGTGCAGATAAGGGAGAGCTCACCAACACCTAGAGAGGGGTTTTTATAGGAAGGGGCTCAAGAGTTGAGTAGAAGGATAAGCAGATTATTAGCCGGCACAGTAGAGTGTGCCTTGTGAGGGATGGGGAAGTGTGGTCCAGCTCAGGGAGGTGCAAAAATACAGGGTGCATTTGAGTGGAGCTCCGTGGGGGAGGCACAAGGTAGGTTGTAGAGGGTTTTGAATGAACGCATTGCCAACAAATGAGACTTTATCCTATAGGGACGGATACAGCCGTACTGTGAATTCTGTGTGTGTACGTGTGTGTGTGCGTGCATGTGTAGGGGGTAAGCCAGGTAGAATTCTGTAGATTTTGAAAAGCTGTAAGTCTGTTCTATTGTGTTAAGTAAAAATTTACTTAATGTCGGTAGTGTTAATTAAAAGAAAAATGTTGTGTGGGGAGCATGTGAAATGTGTGTGTGCTTGTGCACGTGGGTGTGTACAGGTATGAGTTAGGATATAAGAAAGCCATGTAACTAACGTGAGCAAATGTCCTTGCTTTTCCAGGAAAATCTTACTAGATAAATGTCCCTGAGACCACAGGCCCTGCTCTGGCCAACGAGAAGCTGGATGTGTACAGAACAACGTGGTGGGGGGACAAGAAGAGCAACAGACCCCACAGAACTGAAAGGTGGAGGTCCCCAGAGGCAGGTGTTGCTGACAGATCAGATCCACAGCAGCCAAGAAGGGTGGCCTGAGGGAAGGGAGGACTATCTTAAAGGAGGGTGGTGCCAGGAGCGTCACATCTGGGCGCTGCCACCCTTCTCTTGAGTTCACTGAGGCTATTGCTGGGCTGGGGTGGAGGGGCGAGGGGCTGGAGCAGGGGCGCTGGCGGGGTCACAGACAAAGTGATAAGAAATATGTTTATTTTTCCTGGTTATTCTGTGACAGTGCCACTCACTCAGCAAAGGAATACCCTGTTTCCCCACGAGACTCGGCAGCATGGCCTGATAGGAAGTGCCAGCTGGACAGACTAAGAGCCCAAGAAAAGAAGGCTTTGGTAACTTGAGCAGAGAGAGGCTAATGTCAAGGGCAGGAATGGCCACTGGAGATTTCTCATGCTGCCCCACCCACTCTAGTCAACTGACACAAACAAAACCAGAGCAGATGTCACTGACTGACCACAGGACTCTTTCTGCTGATCCTGGACGCGTCCTCAGAGTACTCCTCAAGACCATATTCCAGGAAGCACTACCAACCATCAGAAGCGCAAGTGAGGAGACCTTTTCCTATCCAAAGATAGAGAAAGGCATTTTGATGCCAAGATACCCTGAAATTCGGGGATTCATGAAGGGGTTTGACACTATTAGAGGGTGAGTTAGAATGGATTGTTCAGGGAGAGAGCCAACCAGTGTTGGCTTAGGCCAGCAGTTCTCAAGGTATAGTCTGGGAAACCTGAAGGGCCCCCAAAACCCTTTCAGAGGGTCTACAAGGTCACAATTGTTTTCATAATAATACTAAGGTATGATTTGTCTTTTTTATGGTCAACCTCTCAGAGGCTCTATGAAGTATGTCACTGTGACAAATCAAATGCAGAAGCAGATATATGAGAATCCACCTGTCTTCCACTAAGCCAGACATTAAAGAAACTTGCAAAAATGTAAAACAATGCCACCCTTCTCACTAATTTTTTTTGGTTTGGAAAATAGTTATTTTTTATTAAAAATATGTTATTTATGTTATGTACTGGGTTTACTATTGTTCATCTTAAATGAATTAATAAATACATATTTCATGTTTCCTCATGTTGAAAAACATATTTCAAGTTTTAATTTCCAGTACTGTAAATGTTGGTACATAAAAGTCACATAAACAAAAGCTCTTTGGGCTCTTCTAATTTTTCAGAGTGTAAAGGGGTCTGAGACCAAAAAGTTTGAGAACCACTGAATTGTGATCAATCTGAAGACTGGGGAGAAAAGTAACAATTTAGACCAGGCTTTATTTCCCTTAAAGACTCGTTAATAAGTTTTCACCCTGGACGTCTGCTCCTGCGCCTGCATGGTACCACCTGAATACAGGGCTCTCTGTGGGCTTACACTGTGAGCATGACTCCGTGCTCTAACCCGTCGACCCCCACCAGCTGTGAGTGTGGCTCATGACCAGGAAAGGCTAGACGACATGGGCTATTTCCTGGGCCTTGAAACTGCACACAGCAAATTATCAAGTGAAGTCAACGGCAACTGTGATATCAATACAGGGGTTTTAAAAAAGAGGCCAAAGCTATGTTCAGAAGCTGCTTCTACTGTAGGCTCTTGGTGTCAGCAGGCAGCAGGAAGAAAGATTTTTAGTAGATGTATTAAAAGATACAAGAAGGCGGCCAGCCAAGAAAACAGGCATGGTCTTTTTTTTTTTCAACTTCAAGGGAAAGGTACGTACCCAGCGCAGAGCCTGCAACAAGAAGGCTTTCAAGCGGTCACTCCCCAAAGTCAAATCCTTCTTCAGTTTTTCATAATCCAAGGAGGGCAGTAATGGGACATCCTTCAATTTCCTACTCAGCAACACAAGTTCAAAGAGAAAGAAGAGGGCAAAAGGGCATGTTCATTATACCTCCGGAGCATCATGACGTCCAATCTAGAGCTGCTCTGATGGAACGGACCAGCAGTGGCCCACTTGTTTTCTCCGTGCTGCTGGAATTAACTCCAGGCTTCCACAGAGGGGGCTGGGTCCCAGGCTCCCCACCCCAGCTTCACGTAGCTCAGCTCTGCCTTTTCTGTTGTACGTACTATGGCTTTGAATAACACTTTTCCTAAAATGAGGAGCCTCTGCCTAAACGGTTTAGAAACTAGTGCATTCACCTTAGGCTGGGGCTCCATATGATGGGGAGGAATGCAGGCATGAATGAAAGGGGGATGCCTCCTTGGAAGGCTGCCCAAGTTCTATTTAGAATCCTGACAAAGCCAAAGACTATCAGCATCGGCAGGTCCCAAGAGTGCTCCCTAAAAACCTGAAGACACTGGTCCTCTCAAGTCTGAGGGACCAGAAAGGGGGAATGTGAAGGACAGACCAGAGGCCAGGAAACAACTGTGAAGAGTACGTGCACAGCTGACCATCCAGGGAGGCAGAAGGGCGTGGTCAGGAAGTGGCATGGGGGACACACCTGTGAGACAGGTGGTAAGAGGGACAATTTGCAAACCCTCCTCAAGAGGACTCCAGGTCAAAGACCTCGGGGAAGCCAGGTTTCAATTATGAGACTTCCATCAGAGATCTACACAGCGCAGAAAGACCCAACACCTGCCTTTGGTTGGCCAGAAACAAAAGAAGCCACCTCAGATTCCCCGTCACTAAAACAAGTGTCTTCCTATTCAACTTCCTGTGACTCTATCACTATCTCAAAATTAAAAAACTAAAAAACAGAAACTAAAATATGATTCTTCTAATATTACGACGGTAGCATTATTACTCCCAGCACAATGTTAAATGCAGATTCAAGAAGAGTTGGGTGAAAAGACTAAAGATGTAGGGTCTTGTTTATTTTTAAGGGTGGAGGAGAAACTGAGATAATACCGTTGAGGGTTAGGATTTGGGGTACTTTAAAATTTTCTTTTTCTTATGTTTCGATAGCATTCAAATGTTCGATAATGAGCATGTATTACATAATAAGGAAAAATTTCATGCTGTTTTTTTGATATTAGTTTTTAAAGACAAAGTGAGATCCTTTTATAGCGCCCAGAAGAAAAGGCCAGAAAAGAGGGCAACAAAAGAGATCTCAATAAACCCTCCTGGGAAAGAGAGTCTTCTCTTTTATACATCAAACAATAAACCCATATATGTGGCATACTGACTATTTTGACACTTTTTTTCCGTGAGGCAGATAGCATTGTGAGTTTCATAATTAATACAGATCCTTCTAAAATTCCAATTCTAAATAACTGGTCAGTATTCTTCAAAAGTGTCAAGGTCATTAAAGACAAAGACTGAACAACAACTTCAAATTAAAGGAAACGATGACATGACAACTAACTCAATGTGTGATTCTGGACTGAATCCTGGACCAGAGAAAGGACACAACTGAACAACTGGTCAAATGGGAACAAGGTAACATTCTGATTTTGATAACTGTACTGGGCTTGTGTAAAATATTAACACTAGGCAATCTGAGTGAAGGGTATATGGGAATCCTTTGTACTGTTTTTGCAACTCTGAAATTATTTCAAGATAAAAATGCTTTTTACTTTAAAATTTAAACAGGCTCTTATTTTAGACAAAAAAAGTTCCAATTGTAAAGCCAAGTTTGATAATGTTCTATAGCTGGGGTGCTTCTATTGGACGGAAGAAAAACTGTCATATTTGGGCCATAACTACTTGCTAGTAATGGCAATATTGCCAAATAAATTAATTACCAACTAAGTTTCTCAACAACCCCACATTTCTGCAGTCCAGCCACTCTCCCACTGTCCAAGAAGACTGTGCCATACCCTCCCCTCTGTCCTCTTAACCCCTCCACCAACTACCCCCCTTTACTTTCTGCAGGTGGTCTTGCTCTTCAGCACTGGAACAGCATGAGCAGACACCCGGAATGCTTATTAAGTCCCTGGCACTGTACAAAGTGTTTATATACATTAACTCATTTTTATCCTCACAACAATCCTATAATAGACTTACTATTACTATTCTCATTTTGAGGAAACTGAGGCACACAGAAGTCACATACGTGGCCCAAGGTCACAGAGCTGGTGGCAGATGTGGGATTGTAACTCCAGCAGTCTGTGCTCGTAAGCACTACATTATACAGCCTCCAGCCGAAGAGAATGAAGTACAGGGTCAACGTCAGACTCAGGCGGCACTGAAGGAGGAGGACGCTGTGCCTACCCCACATGTCTGAGTAATCTCTCAGTAACCCCCCATATCCCCCAAAAAAGCAGGCTCACAGGGTCACCAGAACCCACCCTAGTCCTCAGGTCCATGCCAAAGGTTCCCCACTTCCTCGTTACTGCAACACACATGCCTGATGAAGTTCTCGTGCAGCAGGCACCCCATGGGTGACAACCTAACTGATGTTGATAGGAACGCTCAGGTATACACAAAGCTATCCTGTGGCCCTGGTCACAGTGTGAACCAGGAGAGAACATAAATTTAGACACTGCAATGCTCTGTTGACTGCCCTGTGACAGTAGATTAAATTGGTTCCTATGGAATATCATAGGGACAGTTCAACTATTTTTTTCATTGGATGCTACCTCACCAACATAAATAGACTTAATATTAAAAGATACTTCCAGTTTAACAATATTATTTATAATTACTGGTCTTTCCTTTGATATCTACACAGCCCCAGGTAATCAAACGCATTCTCTAAGCCAGGCTGTTAAGACGAGCATTTATTACAGCTATTGTGAATTCCAGTTTTACCCCCACTTATTCTCCTTAATGACAGTTCCTAAGGGCAATTACTTACGCGGGTGCCAAGGAGGCTCTTAACATGGTTGAAGCCTGAGAGGGAGGAGGACAGAAGAAAACAGATGGTGTTAAACATTGATGGCAATGCATTAATCCTAAATCACTATAACACAGAATCAACAGATTTGCAAAGTTTTTGATTCACCAGGATTCTCCAACCATAATCATATACGATTTAAAAATTAGCCCAAGCCAGAGTTAAACAGTACACCACGGCTGCATTTCCCAGGCCACCCACCCTTGCTTTGTAGCTGCTCCACTCCAAGGACTACGCTATAAAAAGACGGGTGGGTTCTCCCCGGCCAAATTCCCAGTTACTCAAAGCTGCCCAGTCAAGGACACCATAAAGAACAAAAGCTATGAAAATCATTTTATTATCCTGTTCTTTCTGTATTAAGATTTTCTCTTTGGGGGCTGGCCCCATGGCCGAGTGGTTAAGTTCGTGCCCTCCATTGCAGGCGGCCCAGTGTTTCGTTGGTTCAAATCCTGGGTGCAGACATGGCACTGCTCATCAAACCACGCTGAGGCAGCGTCCCACATGCCACAACTAGAAGGACCCACAACGAAGAATATACAACTATGTACTGGGGGGGGGTGCTTTGGGAGAAAAAGGAAAAAAATAAAATCTTTAAAAAAAAAAAAAGATTTTCTCTTTGGGTACAAAAATGACAAAGGCACTCAGTAGCAAGTCAAACACTATAGAGGTGTTTATAGAAAAATTATCAGTCCCCCTCCCACCCCACTCCCCTCTCTGCCTGTCTCTAGGCCAAATCGTTGCCTACTTTACAGACAGTCACACTGTCCCATTGACTGTGGTGGTTGTTATTTTTTGCCGCTACAGGAAATACTGTACTAAACATGTATTAAAATTGACTTGAGAAACAAATAACCAAGTGCTGCATGTGGCGCTCGTTTAGACGACTCAAACCAACTGTAAAAAGGTATTTTGAGAAAATAAGGGAAATCTGAATATGGACTGCACTGATATTATATGACACTAAGGAATTAGTGATAATTGTATTTGGCATTGTGGTTATGTTTTGTTTTTTAAAGCCCTTCCCTGTTAGAGATATATATTGAATATTTATAGGTAAAATGGTATAATGTGTGGAGTCAGTTCAAAAACAGAATAAGTGGATAAGAAGAGAGGACATCTCAGCCCTTGGTGGAGGCCTTTCTGAAGGGGCAGGCAGTGGTTCTCGGTCCACTCTATGTCACCACAGCCCTCGAACAGTCGTTATCCATGCTCATCATATTGAACTGTGATTATTTTGAAATTATTTCTGTGCCTTTCTCCTTTAGCAGACATTGAACTCCATACGGACCAGAGATATATCACCCTCGTGGCCCCAGCACCTAGGACAGTGCCTGGACACACAGAGGCATCGTCCAACACTCACTGAGTGAATGAGTGAAGACTGACTTCCAAAAGCGGGCACTCCAGAATCCTTGACTGATTAACCCACCAGCCCTGGCCGATGGCCCTGCTCTCCACTGCTTCCCTCTGCAGTGTTTACAGACCACACAGATTCCCGCCTTGGAAACAGCAAACCCTGCTTTTAAATGGCTCATGACCATGTATGTTTTTATATTTTTAAACCTTTGATTTTTTTTTTTTAATTAAAGGAATTACCTATTCCTGTTATTGGTTTAAATAGCAAGGAGCTCAGAAAATAAGTTTGAACTGTCATCTAAATTACTCATCTAACACATTAAGGAGACCAAGAAGCCAAGATCTTGAGTCAAATAAGGAAATGGCCATACTAAAATATTAGCATAATATATAGACAAAAGAAAAATATTTTAAAATTAGTGACATTGGCTAATTCATATTTCTATTAAAAAAACTCATCAACGAACCCCTTTTTTCATAGTTAAGAAAATGTTTCTATCTTCTAAAACACTGATTCTCTTTTGCTAAACTCTATATCGTTCTATTTGCCCTGCAAAGAAATTAACTGAAAAGCAGTAATAACTGACTCTTTCGAGCGAAGAGCCAGTATGTTAAATATTATTGAGACTATATTATCCAATCAAATGAAAATGAAAAAAAAAGCAGGCGATGAGCTGTAGGAAGAATGGCCCAACATGCGGTTAATGAGAGAGAAGGAGGTAGTGGTACTTCACTCATCCAGTAAGTCCTTACTGATTGCCTACTGTCTGCCAGGTCTCTGCTAGGCACGGGTGACACTCGGTGAACAAAGCAGAGCCCTGTTCTCAGCGTGCAATCCAATGATCGAACAACTCTCCATGCCTCATCTGCAAAATGGTGGCAATAACAGTCCCAGCAGGTGTGGACCCCAATGACAGCACACAGAGTCAGCAGAGCTTCCCCTTCTTTTTGGCCTGTCCATGCTGAGCTCCCTCCTCTGCCGGGGTTGGCAGAGCTGAGAAGTACTGAGCTCCCGCTTAAGTTATGAAGTTGAAGTTGACTTTAACATTGACACCTGGGTATAAACCTGCCCAAGGAATGGAGAACTCACAGCAGGCTATTGCTACCACTTCCTCCCCACTGTGTGGAGGTGTTAATAACAACATTCCAACGCTAAGGGGCTGCTCTGACCTCTTGACCAACCTTTACTTTGGACTAGACTTCTAAGTCATCGCCTCCATCTGTGGGCACTGCTCTGTGTACGGGTGGTGTGGACACAGCTACAACAGGCTGGCAAAGAATAACTCCAGGAAGAGAAAGATGAGAGAGTCCCCAAAATAGTCAGTCAGAGTAATTTCCCTCACGAGCTAACAATGGATTTTGAGCATGGATGGACATGCCCCAGAAAGGATCCCCTTGCTAAGGAGATGCTAAGGAGGCCCTGAGTGCAGCCCAAGTGGCTGCTGTGTGATTTCTAGGACTCTACGCTGGGAGCTCAGGGAAAGGCCCCCACGGCCTGGGGGCACTGGAAGGAAGCGGGTGCTCCCAACCACAGTGGATGTGAGTGAGTAGGTGGTGGTTTCCCATCTGAGGACGCACACTAGGAACGTGGGGCAACCTTCACAGGGCACAGACAGAGGACAGCGGAACAACGAACGTATGAGGCCATCACTACTCACTGAGCACCCACAGTGTGCCAGGCGCAGGGCAAGGCTGTCTGGACCCCTCAGGCGTGGGAGAGGGAAACGGCAGCATTATGCCTCCACCCCTTCTCAGCTGCAGGGAAGGCGCCTGAGCCTGGCCCTCCCAGCAGTCATTGCTCCCTGGAGCTGGTGGCCACGGCATGGGGAAGGAGGGGTTACTGGGGCCACACAAGCCAAGGACTGCTCTCGGGGACAACAGCAGGACGAGGGGCTTTGCTAATGATACACGAGGGCAGGAAGTGTGTTCAGAGAAGTGAGTATTAGATGTGGTAACATGACGAAAACTGCCCCTCAGTCAAAAGCAACTGGAGGTTTCCTGGGCTCAAGAGGGGCGAGCAGTCCTTGACGGGGGGACGCTCAGGAGTCTTCAGAGCGCCGCTGAGTGCCGTGAGTCTCAGCACAACACACAGCGCGTCCCAAAAGCACTGCATCAACGCTTTGTTCCGGAACAGGAGAATCCTGGGGGATTAGTGTTTCCAGGCCCCCACTTTGGAAAATGCTGCTCTGCAGGATGGCAGCAAGTGTGTGCAGCCCAGGGAGGGTCAGGAAGAAAGAGCTGTGAATGGACAAGGTGACAGGATGGCACCATTTGGGGCTGGAAACCTCCTCAGACCAGGCCCGCACACTGCCAGCCCTTCTTCCCCAGCCCTGCTCATGTGGGACTAAAGCTGACTGCTGTGGCCGCTTGTGCTGTGCAGGGAAGCAGGGGAAGAGTGAAGGCAGGGCCCCCTGGCCAGCGACCTCAAGGGGAATGAGTACCTAGGAGAGGTTAAATAACCACAGTGGGACACCTGAGGAAACGTGCCTTAGCCACGGGACTAAAGAGGCCACGGAGGCTGGAGGCCCAGAGGAGCACCCGCCATATGCAGAAGGGAGGTTGCTATGACAACTCTGTACCAGGAAGGGTACTGCATGACACGAAAATGCAGGGTTGTAAACGCAGGAGGGGAGGGCTAGAAGGGAAAACTGCAAATGAGATTTGGAAATGGAGCTAATTATGTGGAGTGGGAGTGCTCATGTGTCCAAATGTGCTGCTAAGTTCTCCAGAAGCTTCTCGGGCAGGAGCCTCTCTGGCTCACCAGGTCACCGAGGGTGGTGACCTTGGCCCTGCTTCGCCACCCTGTAGCCTGCAGTCGTCTGAGAGCCTGGGGTTGGGCACAGCGTGCAGCGACACACACACTCGGGAAGTACCAGGGGCTGGGGTGCTGGAGCTTCTTGGGGTTTCCATAACCAGAGCTGAGCCTAGAGAGACAGACCAGCATCAGATCACGGAGGGCCGTGAGCTCCAGGCTGAGCACTCTGGAGCTGAAGCAATGGCAGGTATTAGGCAAGGGAGTAACATGATCGAATGCCTGTATGTACCTAAATCCTTCCTGAAACATGAGGTCATAAATAAATAAATACCACACAACTGGAAAGGTCACTCCAACTCCCGCATGAACGAGCCACCAGAAAGGCGAGAGCTTTGAGGCTGACACAGTTAGGAAATGGTGCTTTAAGCCAGGACAAAAACAGGGAGAGCCTGACCAAACACAGAGCAACAGAGAACAGGGCGGGATGGAGGAAGCCCGCTCAGATCCCGAGGGCTGGCTGAACGTGGGGCAACGGAAAGGACAGTGTTCCCTGGGGTCCCATTCACCGAGTCAGGAAATACAGGAGGGGAGACCGCCTGTTTGGAGGAAAAGGTGAGCGCAGATTTGGAAATGTGATATGCCTGTCAGACATTCATGGGGAGGCCAGTAAGTCTGAGATTGCAGGTCAGGGGACAGGTCTGAGCCAACGGCACAGTCACTCTGTGCCAATTGCTGTTCTACCAGCTGGTTGAGATCAAAGGTGTTCAATCCTCACAGTGCCAGGTCAGTTCACACGTGACAGGCGTCGGTGTGTGAGGTGGAGCAGGGAGAGGGGAGCGAGGCATGCAACTCCCCTCAAATACACAGCACTGGGCCCAGAAAGGC